AACAAAAACCGAAAGTAAACCACCTATTGTACAATATAATCAAAGTCAGGACGGTTTAATTCAATTTGCTTTTTTGACTGGTTTATTATAATTTTTTGTCAAGTTGCAAAAACTAAATTTCCTATTAGTTACAATCTAAACAATCTTTTCAGCAAACAGGTACTTGAATTAACAAAAGAAAATAGTATCTTATTCTATAACTGGTGACTTTACCCAATTATTGCAACCATTTAATGTCGCATTCTATGGACCTCAATTTTTATGAAAAAATATTGGAGGAAAATACTTGATCAATCGAAAATCTTTTGTTTAAAAAAGGCACTGACAAAAAAAAAAAGTAATAATTATAATAACAGTGATTATTGGAAAATATCTTTGGATGATAAATTAGCAATAATTACTTGTAATTCGCCGAACATGTTTTACCTAAGTATGAAATTTATGTTGATGAGTTTCTAGATTATTGTATACGAGTTTTTAGTTGGATTTTACCAAAAGATTATCATTTTACCTTCAATACAAAGGATCTTTGTTAAATGTTTCTGTATCAAAATATGTTATTCATATTGAAACTCTTGTTCTTTTGTCGAGCTATTGATGTAAAAAATTTTGACTTAATCAACCAAAATTTTAAATTTGAAAAACGTGTTATACCTAAAAAATATAATTACTTGACTTTTAAGCTGTTTTCTTATAAATCTAGTTTAAATCAAGACAAGTTTTATTGTTCACTTAGTATTTTGTTACAATTCTAGAGCTGTTGTACTTCATACTATACTTTGCATCTTAAAACCACTCATGAAGTAAATAATTAAAAAAACTTTAAATTAACCTGCAAAGCTGAATGCTCCTCTTAGATTTACCTCCACAGAACGAGTTAAATTAAGTTTGCAACAACAGCGTTTAAATTGCAAACAGCTGAAAAATTGCATAAAAGTTATCAAAACAGTTTTAATTATAGAAATTGAAAAAGTGAAAAAAGACCTAAAAACACTGTATTCTAGTTTTAATCAGAAAAATGTTCCAGACTACATGAAGCTATTTTGGAATGAGCAGGAAAAGTATATTAAAGCTTCTAGTCCCTGAAGTGTTAAGTACCATCCAATGATAATAAAATTTTGGCTTAATTTAGCAGCTAAACCTTTGTCAGCGTATTCTGATTTGCGTTTTGATTTTTAGTTCTTCCAAGTTTACGTACCTTAAGAGATTACAAAAGAGGTTTTAATCCTCAAGTCATAAATGATCTTTCAAATAAAGTTGTAGATTTCTCCAGCTCTGAACGCTTAGTTACTATTCTGTTTGATGAAATGAAAGTTCAAGAAGATTTAGTTTGGAATAAATACTCCGGTAAATTAATTAGATTTGTAGATTTAGGAGATATTCAAACTAATTATGCAACACTAAAAAATGTGAGAGAGATAGCATCTTATGTCTTGGTATTTCACGTTAAAAGTATAGTAAATCCACTTTCCTATAGTCTAGCTATATTTGCCACAACTGGAGTGACATCATCACAACTTATGTCAATATTTTGGAAAGCAGTTTGTTATTTAGAAAGTATAAATTTAAAAGTCATTTCTGCAACTGCAGATGGTGCATCTACTAATAGAAAGTTCTTTAAAATGCATAAGAAATTAGATGGAGATTCTGGGAAAGATATTATATATCGCACTAAAAACTTGCTTAATAATGATAACATATTCATTTATTTCTTTGCAGATATACCTCATCTAATTAAATTTTCTCGAAATTGCTGAAGTAACTCTGGTACTGGATGTAAATCACGATATATGAAAAAAAAGTTGAATTTTTCTTCTTTGAATTTTATAATTGCAACTATTTGAAATTGAGTGACCACGCGCCCAAGATTTATTCTCAACCATTTCTTAATTTTTTCTGAACCATTTCTTGACTTTCCAAAGGCTGCAATAGATATGCACTATGTCCAAACACAGAAGAATTATACCATTCTCTCTCGCAATGCTAATGAATTTAATACTTATAGTGTGAGATTTATGTTCATCTAAAAATAAGTAGAACTAGGGAGCTTATTTTTGCCCCTGAATATTAAATAAATTTTTTTAACCAAACAATAAACAATTCTTTTCGTATCCACCTGCTTGAGTGACATTCAACCCAGGCACCTTGTGGTATTCCATCCATTAATTCTGGCTTCATTCGTTTACGAGTAAAGATCATCATTTGCGGCATGTACCTCCCATACTTGTTTTGTCACAATTCCAGATATTTTTAGCATGTCCCTTTTTTATATCCACAACATCTTCCAGTAAAGAAAAAAATAGAATTCACAGCCTCTCGGTTAAAGCTCACGGCACATGAGCTTTTATGTTGAACACAAATGTATTCAGGATAAAAAATTATTTTCATAAAAATGTCAAAAAATAACTGGTTTACAAATTATTTAAAAACACTTGTGGTAAAATGAAGAATACCTCATTATGCCCCATATTTCATACCCATTATGCCCCATTGGTGGTATATAGCTAAAAACAGTGCCACATCCGAAAAAAGTTCACACATTTCAAAATTCAAAATTTTTAATAAAACCTTGTTCTATATTAGGTAAATGCAATATGAGCTTCAGCGTATCACATGAAATAATAAAACTCTGCATCATATAATATGATACGGTTATATTACATCAAAGTTTATTTTAAGTCATGTTTACTTAGCCAAGACAAATTTCGTTAAAATTTTAAACTAATGCAACTGATGGAGGCATTTTGCCACATGATAACTAAAATAAAATCACTATTTAGTTGTTTCCACACCCAGAACACGGTCTTTTTGCAAAAAACCATTTTGCCCCAGTACCCCATTTTGTACCAGTTTCCTCTATAATATTTATTATTTTAAAATTATAATCTTTTAACTATTGATTGACCATAGTTGCTGCGTATATATATATATATATATATATATATATATATATATATATATATATATATATATATATATATATATATATATATATATTAATTTGATTAGATGTTGTAATTTTTAAATATGATTTGTGGTTTAATGTTGTTAATTGAAATTATCATGTCACTCTTACTCCAAGTGGCATTATTATTATTTTGTGAAATAGATTTAAACTATATTTGAGAAGAACTACAAGGGCTAGAGATTCATAAATTTGTTGAAATCATCTCAATAGCGTCCGTGGTAAATACGTTAAATCGACTTTTAAAGGAAACTCTTTCCTGATAACTGCAGGAACTTCTTTAAAATGTAGTATAACCAACAGGAACTTCTTTAAATTTTGTAAATCGTGTTACATTAAACAAAATATTTATATTAGTTATTTAAAGCATTTGAAGAATCACCAACAAAAATATGAAAAAGTTGTCTGCAACCGCTGGACACAGACTACGATAAAGTAATAAAACAAAAATGGTCACAGACATTGTCCTAATAATTCTCTGACGAATTATCAAGCTCTTTACCTCACGATCAATTCTATTTTGTTTTTAACAGTGTACGGGAAGAGATGGTTGTGAAAAGAGGACTTTATGTAGATGCATTTGCATATTGTAGGCGCACTCTATCCGTAACACTTTAAAGGAACACGAGTATAAAAAAGGGGATTCATTTAGAGATAGTAATGATTTTCAACAAAGAGATACAAATTCTTCGTTACTTAGAACTGTTATTCCTTCTGTTAAGAAGATTTTAAACCCATTTCTTCTGCAAAGAAGATTTCAAACCCCTCACATGAAATCTCTATTTTTAACCCCTCCACGAAACCACAAAGTTTTTATCAAATCAAATGCAACTGAGTTCATCAAATGCTAATAACAAAAGCAGCATAAAAGCAAATGATTGCTGTGTGTGCGGTATGACATTAATGGATTCATCAGAAGGCTGGTTCTAGTGCGTGTCTTATCATAGATGGGCATGTGAAGTTTGCTTTTGACATAAAAGATCTCAAAATTAACAAAACTAATTTTAACAATATGTATTAAATGTAAAAGATAAATAATAATAACAAAAGTTTTAAAAAAATTAAAAATTATAATTGGGAGTACATAAAGTTAACAACTACTCATAGTAAAATAGTACTAAACAGTAGAAAACAGAAAATAGTAGGCCTCAAAAAGTATGTATTTATAATCGTTTTAAATTTTTAGTTTATTTTGTATTTAAAAGGTTTTAGATGAAAATGTTTCTTGTAGTTTTCTGCGAGTTTCCTAACAACTAAATAATTTTATTTCAATTTATTATATATATACATTTTCAACGACAAGCCCAAGTAAGTCCATTGTAGCCCAGTGGTGTGACGGTCTTGCGTATATTTTTTAAATGCAAGAATATATAGCCAGCGCTTTATATTATAAGCCACGAATTTTTAAATTATACCAACCCACTGACAAGCATGAGTGCGCATAGCAGCATTCTTAATTTTCTTTATAAATTATTATATTTAGAAAGGTATTGTAAATATGTGTGGTGTGCATATATATAAACTAGAGACATGTAAATATTATTTTTTTTTAATATATAATAACAAAAAAATTAAATTAACAATTACAGATTGTAGGCATCTAGCTAACTACAACATCACAATAAATCTAAATCTAGTTAACAGTTACATATCGTAGCTTTTTAGCAAGAGATGTCATTACGTTATATTGATTGTTTTGTCGCTAGCTACTTCATAAAGACAATTCTGCAGCCAGGGATGCTTTCCCAAAATTTATCAACCGGTTCGCAGTGATATTTTCTTACAAATTTTTTTATTTATTTAATATTAATATTTCCATCAAAATATTATGGTTGTCAGAGTGGCAGACTAAGTCATGAATATTTAACTATCGTTCATATTCTTTGCAACAATAATGTAATAGGATAAAAGAGAATTAAAAATTTTTATTCATTCATTTCAAGAGATACAAAGTTTACATAAAAAGAAACTGAACATAACAAAAAATTGTGAAATTTCATATATTAGTAAATATTATTGTTATAAATTAATTATATTATTTAAAATATTTCCAAATAGCTATTTGATTTTCAGTATATTCTTTCGGTTTAGATTTTTTAACCCTTATATCATCTACCGAGTTATGGTTCCTCAACCAAGTTTTTACATAGGGAACTGCGTTCCAATTTTCCAATGGACGACCAACTAAGTTTAATGTCATCAAATTTGATACTGTCTGCACTGTTAATCTGGCTCTTATATCAGTAATTATGATGTTCATCAATGAAAATCCTCGTTCTGCTTCAGCACTGCCAACGGCAACCGTATTAATCATATTTTTCGCTTTTTGAATGTTTTCTGCAATTTTACTAATTTGTAGATGGCCATTGTTTGTTACATTTTCTACATAATCACGGAAATCATTCTTATCGATATCAAAATTAAAAAATTTTTGAAATTTATCAAAATTATTTTCGGCCTCTATCCACAGAACTACAATATCTTCAATTTTCCATGTGCTCGGCTCTAGCAAATTGGCTAGTTCATAAATAATGCTATTATCAATATTTTTTTGTTACTATTCGATCCGAGTTGAGAACAATCCATCAATCTTAATTTCATATTTTTTATGATGCTGACAATAAGGGAATCTCTGGGAAGATTTCCATAAATTCTGTTTTTGACGAAGATAATGTTTTTGAATGCTTCAGAGTTTATAACTTCATCCACTTTTTTTTCGTAATGACCGCGACGATCTTTGAGCATTTGAAAAGCGTTAATTATTCTTCTAATCAGTTGATCTCCCCTGGCAATATTTATATTTCTAGCTTGAAGGGCATTAGATAGCAGAGAGCACTCCTGTAGGATGTCAATCATTAGAGCTAAATCTACTAGAAAACATTTGTTTTGTAGTCGTTTTGCCATTCCAGACATTTTTTGATTAAAAGAGAACAACGTATACAAAGCAGGGTAGCTCCGCCATACAGCAAGTGCAGATCTTAGACTGCACGCAGCCCATCTTGGTCCTAACACTCTTCCAATCTTAATTATATCCAAACTAAGCTCCTGGGAAATATCATTCAGTTTGTTTTGGTTTTTATTAGATTGATGAAAAATACAATATATTTTGTCCATGAAAACTTTAAAATGATTAACCTGTTTGATATCTTTTATGGAATCATCTAAAACAAGTTGTAGGTGGTGATTGAGACAGTGCCAAATAATAACATTTGGAAACATCTCTTTTATTCGTACGCTGACTCCAGATTTACAACCGAGCATTACGCTAGCACCGTCAGAACAGAATCCTATTAAATTCATTTTTAAATAATTTGTATCAAATCCAACAGCAAGTAATACACCCAACAAACTTTGAAAAATAGTATTCGCATCTTGTGCGTCAAGTTCCACAATATCTACGAATATTATTGGGGTTATTTCAGAAGATGCTACTGTAGAAGATTCTACTTTGATGAAAACTATAAGCGTTGATTTACTGGAAATGGTGGAAGCTTCATCAATAACAGTACACATTTTTAACTTATTCTTAATAATTGATATAAACAATTCTTTTTTTGTTTCTTGCGCAATATGCTCTACTATCTTACTTGCACTATGTCGAGAATGAAGTCCGGTTCCCATGTCCAACCCGTTTTTTAATTGAAGCTCTATTACACTTTCTATGTCTGAAAACGGACGATTTCTTTTCGCTAGACTGTAAACAGTGTTGAAGATTCTTGTAGTAGAACTAATAAATTTTTCGTTCATCTTATCGATGCATGCTGTAAAAGTTTGTTTTTTAAGTATCTTGGTTCAACAGCTAGTTTGTGTGCTTTTGATACAAAATGTTCACTCATTTTTTTTCTTAAAGATGCTTGTTGCACTATTTTGTCTTTCCCCGATGTAGTAACGTTACATTTTTTCCATTCCTGAGATATTAGTTTTGATTCCATTTTTAAACAATGCTCACATCCCAATTTCTGATTACTGACAAATAGCCCATCATATTTAATTTTAAACTCCTTCAAGTGTTTTGCATTCCAACAGCTTGGTAAATTATTATTGTCCTCATTTTGGGAACTAGGAATCTCTAGTATTTCTTCCTGTAAAGTTCTTGAAACTGCTTCTACCTCTGTTATAGTCGACCTGCTATCATTACTTACTGATGTTTCCTCTCTTATTTTTTTCGAGAAATATGTGGTTAACATATTTTGTCTCTTCATCTACAAAAAATAAAATAGGTATTTAAAAATTCATAAAAAGGTGAATATCAGACCAGTAACCAAATAACTTTAAAAGCTATATTTTTATTAAAGAAAAATTATCGGAAATACTTGTTAACAATTTGACACGCAAGGATTGAATTAAGGCATCGCGATTTGCGATATCTGTGAAATTATCTGGTCTTCAAAGTTTCAGTTTATGGAAAACCACGAAATTTACGGAATTAAGGCGAATAAACTTTAATTTGTTAGTGAAAATGTTATGAAAAACAAAACAATAAATTTATGACTACCAAAGTAATAACACTACAGTGTTGCTACTTTTATAACACTCTTTTAAGTTACATTTATAGTTTGTTACATTTATAATTTATTGTTTGATTAACAAATAATCAAGCTATTATAAATAAAAATAATTTAGTTAAGTAATTCAAAATTTTAATTAAAGTAGTAATGCATCTAGAAAAAATACAATGGATATTTAAACAATGTTAAAAACCTCAGCAACTGTTACGAATACATATTTTTGACGCTACACGTGCATGTTAATGTTAGAATTTCTAAACTGTTACTAACGGAAAAACCGCGCGTCAACTTTAAAATCAACCAATGAAAACACTGGTAATTTACATATTAGATAAAAAGGGGAGGGAGGACTAATTAACTGAAAGATTTCTATAAAGTAAAAAATTAGAATCGCAATGAAAACTAGATAAAATATTCAAATTGTTTATATAGAATTGCACCAAATGGTAAATAAAATTTATTTAAATAATTGTTTTTTTGCCAAAGTAAAAAAATTTTATTTTCGCTTATTTTAATAGCCGGTTCGCACGAACCATAGAATTTAGATCTAACGGTTCGCACGGTGCGAACCGGCGCGAACCGGTAGGAAAGCATCCCTGTCTGCAGCTGCTATGCGTCTGTAGCCACCAATCACTATAGAGATATAAATATACATACTAATATATATATATATATATTTAAGATGATTTTCCACTCATCCATTTTTTTACGGGAACAAGAAAGGAAAGAGGAAAATAATCACGTGGACATTAGGGTTATAACATTTTTACAACCATATATGGCCATGGTCCTACAAAATGAGTTCTTGAATAAAAACCATAAAATTGACATACATAATTTTATTTCGAAAACCTCTCCCAGTATATAGAAAAACTATTTTCGAAACTTTGCAATTTAGTATAATTTAATAAAATTATACTAATGAGTAAATAACAATATTTAACACAATACAGTGATAGTAGCTGAATAATGTAACACAAAACAACCACTTGTTTGATAAAATAAATTTCAAATTGATTTTTTCAGCACTTTTACACTGTATTTCTTTCATGATTTTAGTTGCTCGTTCGGCACAAATATTATTTCTTTGCGTCTCAATTGCTGCATTGTCTTCGTTCCAAAGTTTCTTAAAAATGGTGTGCGCTTTTTTGTGTTTCTTTAAACTGTTGTCCAATTTTTTATAATCACTTATATTGAGTAATGTTTTTAAAGTAATAAAGGGAACCATGTTCTAGATAATACCAGTATGCATTTCCCAATTTGTAAAAAAACTGCTTATCATCGCGCCGTTTGATGTTTTTAACTTTTATATTTACATCACTTTGCTGGAATAAGTTTTTAAATTTATTTAGTTGTTACTGACTTCTTGCACAAAATCATATCCTTAATTAGGATATGTTGTTTTTCCATTAAGAATTTGGTCCTTCAGATCAAAAGATATTTAAAATATAAAACCAAAAATAACTAAAAAAAGAAAACAGGTTAAAACTAAAAAACAATGAAAAAAATGCAAAGAAATAATTAATAAGCCCCAGCTGCATAGGCTGGTATAGTTTCACTTTGTTTTGCTTCATCCACAAATTCTTTCCTAATGGTTCTCAGTTTCTTTCTTCTCTCAGTTCCCTTTTTAGAGCACTTTTTATTCATTAATGTTATTGTTTGATTATCCATTTTCGTAGTATTATTAATTAAAAGTTTTTTTTCCAGAAGGTGTGCAGTATGTTAGTTACCACAGAACTTTTTTTTATGCTTCAAAAGTGTTGATCTAGGCATTAGTTAATTTCCTCTAAAATTAAACACCCTTGATTTATTTTTATTTGGAATATATAACAACAATAGCAATAAAAAAATTGAGAATCGCTTGGCAAATGTAAAGACTGCAAATTAAGCAATTAATTTCATGTGGCAAAAAATTTTATTTTAAAGTATGGATTTTAAATAACTATTGTCTTGCTTTTTCAACTTCAATAACACCTTTTCCAAATTAATAATGCAAGTTTTCAAGCTTGTAATGTAATTTATTTCAGTATTATGGAGTCGTTACAATGGTGTTGCTAAGGGGGTAATTTTTATAGGGTTGCATCTAAATGAATTTTAGTCAACATATTCAGTATTTTTATAAATTCCAATAACATATTTGAATTTATTATTAAATTTTGCATAACAAAAAGCTAAAAATAAATTTTGGGATTTTTGACTAAAAAGAATGGTATGGACCACCTTAACTCTTTTAATGATACAAAAAAAAAGGAAAAAATTGTCAGTTTTAAAATAATGCTTTTTTGTTTTAATTTAATTAAAGTAATTTTTATTTTATTAATTTTCGATACACTTGATTGATTTTGATTGTGTGTTACAATCTTATACATCCTATGCTCTTCTATTACAGCTATTCCTTTGGCATTATTATTTTCTTAAAGTTCAACTTTTTTCATTATATTCAACAAGCAGTCATAAGCTTACAGTTTAATAACATTAAAATTTTAAACAAGACCATATGTTTTTGAAACATATTTGCAAATCAATGGTTAAAGTAAAATAGATTTAATAAATGAGGTTGTATAAAAAATAAGACAAAGTTTAAAAAGGAAATCTTCTAGAAGTAAATAAATAAGTTATTTCTCCGTTGCTATGGCGTTGCAAAGGATTAAGAAATTGTATTAACCACCAATCCTAAACTTTAAAAGACCTAATAGTCAAAAAAGTTCCTTTGGATTTGGAACTTTAATGTTTAAAGTAATAAAAATCTAAATATTTTTTGATTGTGAAAGGTGGTGTATTTAATTTTAAAAGCAAAAATTTGGAAACAAATAATTGAAAGTTATTTTAACGATAACATTACAAATGATGAGCAACAACATCAAATAATAAAAAACTCCATAGAAACAAATTTAATCAATAAATAAAAAAAGTTTAAATTCAATTAAAACTTAATAAAAAAATATGTTATTAAAATTTTTGCTTTGCTTGCATGTTAAGAGTAATACTATTTATTGCGTTGTTATCTTCAGGTTATTGGTTGAGAGGTTAAAATACAGTTAAACAGTGATTTTGATCTTAAATCTTTCTCTAGCTGTAAAAACATTATTAGTGAGGCAATATTTTTTTTTTTTTTATGTTCAGCCTCAAATTACGCTAATTTTTTAAAAAGTATCTTTATTTTATATATGTGTTAACAAACCCAAGTTAGAATCTGCTATTTGTCTGGGCGTTCTCTTTTTTAATCTGCAAACAAAGTTGCTGCAATCCCTGTGAATGTTGTTTCATTTCATTGCAAGACACTTTAAAAAACCTTTTTAAAATAATTATTCATTTTAAAATAAAATTATTTACTAATGATCTGTAATAAAAAAAATTTTTTTCTTATTATACTAAAACAGTTATAGCATGTTGTTGAAAAACTCTTTTTGTAAAAAGAGTTTTTCAATAACATGCTATTGTGTTAACACAGACAGTGATATCTATTTTACTTGAAACAATTAACAATTTTTATTGAGTTATACGTTTGGCTAAAGATTAACATTAAAATTTTCTATTATAAAAAATTTTGCTTTTATGTTTTCCTGTTTCTCTTCTGTTAGTCTTTTTAATTAAAAAACAATTACTTTTTTTTATTCGCATCATAACCATGGACGATGGATAAAATAATATAAAAGTGTAATTAACTACGCTAATTGGTGCGGCCGTGGCGCAGTGGTTAGAGTGCCTGCTTAATAAGCAGGAGATCCAGGTTTGAAACGAGCTGTGGACATATTTTCGCGTCATGGAAAATAAGGAAGTGTGAATTTCCTGGTTAAATGCACTTCTGTGGTACTCTGTGACAAGACCGTTAGGTCTTCTTGGGGCACCTTAAAATAATAACAAAAAAAAAAAATTACACTTTAAACGTAGTTAATTACACTTTTAATATAAGTTTATATCTATAAAAAAAGTAATTATCGAAAATTAAACGTAATTAACCTTTTCAAAGTAGAGTTCTATAAAATTACGGATTTAAATTAATGTAAAAAAAAAATAGTAATATATAAATGATGAGTTTGTTGCTTATTTTAACTAATTACAACTAATTCATTTTTTTAGGATTTAATTATCATGTTTTACAAAATAGTAAAAACAATTGTTTTAAAAAGATATTATCTTTGTGAAAACAACGACATGCATCATAAACGCCCAGGGTGCTGGCTCCCGAATTTTTATAGCAATTAGTTAAACTTTTTGTATTGAAATGTAATAAACAAA